GAAGAACTTGGAACTTGAGTGAAATTGCATACCCTGTTTATGACAAGAAGTTCGAAAAACCATACCCTGTTCAGCGGATCATCCCCGTATAGTCCATATATGGGAGTACCCCCCTGGGGGTAAGGGGGTGTCTTAAAAATATTCCTCTGTGAGGGGGGTATGGATAATTTTTGGAACTACACAATTCAAATTTGAACCAACCAAGAGTGCTCTTGGTTAGAGTGTTCACAAAGTAATGTAATCAGTCTCAGTGATGTACAACATATCTATGTAAGATCCCCGTTTACATGTGGCACTAGGCTGAAGGAGAAATAGAACAGCCAGCCACGCCCTCAGAACCCCCCAAGGGCGGATCCAGGGGGGGCAAAGGGGGGCTGGAGTCCCCCCTTCAGCAGAAAAAGACGATGCTTTTTTATATTGTTTTCCGTTGTGTTGACGGAAGAAACTCAATTAGCCCCCCTAAACTCAATTAGCCCCCCCCTAAAATTTTGGCTGGATCTGCCCTTGCCCCCTTTATTCCCAAAAACATGCACCATCGTTACTTACTTTTGATCTTTCCTTGAACCAACCAGGGAAATCTTCCTGTGGGTCAACTGAAGTTAGACAAATGTGAAATAAAATCTATATGTAAAGATGAAGAGCTGTGTTCGTCTGGTGAGTCGAAACCAATCGATGCCATGTGAAAGCCATGCCACCGCGCGAAGCCTATTTGATATAGGCGCTATTTGACTTCACTTCCGCGATCATTTGTGGTTTTAAACGGTTACGTGAGTTTCTGCATGGTCACGTGAACGCAACAAATTTTCAGTTTCAAAATTGTAGGAGCAAAGCAATGCATTTACTCGTAAAGAAATTAAGTTCCTGAAAAGAAGGAAATTACGTTATCATTTCAATCAAGCGGCTGCCCTTCATATGATCACGTGACATCATAAGTAACCTGTATATAACCCCTCCCCTATATACATACTAGCACGCACCACACTTACCCTACCTCTTAATTCAGATTCCTTCAAGAAATCCCAAAAGTATCCCATACTACTACGCACGCGCAAAGGAGTCAAGTATGTTATCAGAGCTGCATCGGAGATGGATCAGCTAGACTGGATAGAAAGCCTTCAGAGTGTTTGTGAAGACCCGCAAGATCAGACATAATCAGAGCTTGGGCTACCTGTGCTGCGAGAGTTCTCCACCGCGAGCTGAAAATAAGTTTATTCGTTTCTGTTCCTTTTTATCTCAGTCAGAAACGGAAGATCTTTGGCCAAATATAGTTGCTAACGTTGTCTTTTTGTATATCATATTACAATAAGAACTAGCTAAAACGAAAACTTGATTTTCGGTTTTTCCGACTGGCCCTTTCCTTTTCATTGTTTTTCTTTCTTCCTTCTGAGACGAAAAAGGAACGCAATCTCTGGAAAAAGAACGAGTATAATTTATAGAAATGTGCAAAGATTTATTTCATTGTCCCGTCATGTTTACCCCACGGCCCGGTTGTACGAAAGGTGGATAGCGCTATCCAACGGATAAATTCTTATCCGTTATTTAGTGAATAAGATGTATCCATTGGATAGCGTTATCCACCCTGATAATCGAAGTCAGTGGATCTCCACCATAGTTAATTGTTTCAAAATATGAAGAAAAAAAAAAATCTTATGGAGTTTGAAATTTTATTCTAGAGATGCTACTAAAACGCATGACCATCACGTCGGATGATTTAACAAACGAATTGATAATCATTGTGTTAAATTTATCCAATGTGGCGGATATAACTTCACGTGCAAGCAAATTCTTAGTCCTATTTCAAAAAGGTTGGAGAAGGTTTTGTCGCTTGCTGCTTACCAAGCTTGAAATGCATTATCTTCATACAGTCAATGTCATTAACGTTGTCCACCAAAAAAAGACATTTACACATTTACACATTTAGACTAAAAGAAATATCACGTGTTTCCTTGAAGGTTCTAGCATAAAACAAATGCTGAAATACCATTCTCCATCTTAAATTCTCACTAAATGGTCAGGGCATTCTGGATTTTCGATTCACGAGTTGAATTTTACATTTAAAGTTCAGGCTGACGCACACGAGGCAAAGAATACACAATAAAACACGTGATATATCTTTTAGTCTAAAAGTGTAAATGTCTTTTTTCGGTGGACAACGTTAATGACATTGACTGTATGTAAATAACGTCAGCACAAGATGATATGCCAGACAAACGTGCAGAAAAAGTTTGGTAAAACTCCATATCCTTGTGGCCTTTCGCCGATTGAATTTACATCACCCATAGTGCATTTCGGGCTTGGATGTAACGTTCAACAAAACCTTTACAAACCTTTTTGAAATAGCTACTATATACAAGAGTAATTCAATATTCTGATCATTTTTTTATATTGTCTCAAAATATAATATAAGAATTTTTAATATTTATCATTTTAAACTTATGGTCATAAATTTTTTTTTTTTTTTTTCTTGTTGTATATTTACTTAAGAACTCGTGAGACTACCTTGCATAAATGAAGCGGATTACCTTATATTATAATATATATTAAATGAAATGATTGCTAAATAAATAGATGAATGTTGATCTATGGATGAATATTATGATCTTAATTCATTAAGTTTTGAAAACAATTAAGTTATCATTATACGATTTTTTCCAATCCCTCCATAATTTGAATTGTCATGACGGACAGTTAAATGGCTTTTAGATTGTGATTGGATGATTCGTGTTCCAGGTTTCTGATTGGTGCTTAGCGGAAGCCATTTCAGAGTCATACCAAAAAATGGCATTTTAAAAATCTATTATTTTAAAACTTTATTTAGTTTAGTTCTTCGTTTCTTTCCTTTTTCACGATCTTAAACAAATGCACTGGTTTCGGATAGTCAAAAAGTAGATAATCTAATTCATAGAGAGACAATAATCTTTCCAGCTGACGTTCAGTAATTTGAGAAAAGTAGGATTCCATAAGAGAACTCGTATCTTGTACACTAGTGTACGTAGGGAACAAAATACTTGTTTTTCTCACAATACTTTCAATTATTACCTGTGCATCTTCTAGTAAATTCTCATACCTGCCAATAAGTGTATAATTTATTAAGCAGGGATTGCATAGTTTATGCATTCTCTCCCAGTGAATTTCAAAAGCTTCCTTCGCTGGAGCCTTCGTCAAAAATTCTACGAACTCTGCAAATGATATTTTATTTTGCACTTTTCTATCGCCGATTATTCTTCCCGAGTATTTCGTAATTTTCTCGCCAAATAACCTGTGAAATTTTCCAGTGTAGTCGTAGTAGATTTTATTCAGATATGCAGACAGCAACCGCGACATTGGCTCGCGAACGACCACGTAACTTTCGTAGGTTTTAATCTTTTTTCTTATCTCTTCGAAGGTGGAATTTCCGAGGGTCTTTAGTAAATCTTCTTTGTGTGCCACTGTTGGTTCAATGTCATTCACGTCTTGAAATTCGCCTTTGAGGACGAGAAAGATTTTTTTCCAGTTGCCGCTCGCTACTTTGGGCAAATAACAGAACAAAATTTTGTGTTTGTCATCAACTATGACAGTTTTGAGTCGCTTTGAAGCTTTGAGCGATTTGAAATTGTTGTCTTTGTCCAAACCATACTTTTGACAGATTTGCTTGGTGATTTTCGTTCTTAAGTTCTGTGTTCTGTTAACCTGTTTTTTAGTTTAAAAAAAAAAAAGTTTAAGATGGACAAATAGTACAAAGATATTTGAGAATGGTGCAAGCGGAAAGAGTAATACTGAGGGGAAGAGGACTGGCATCCAACATGGCTGCCATACTGTATATTTTTTTCTTTTGGGAAGACGGCAAACTATCTATGATGAACATCATCCAACATGGCTGCCATGTCTTTGTTCTTTTAGGAAGACAGAAAACTATCTATGCCTCAACATCATCCAACATGACTGCCATGTCTTTGTTCTTTTAGGAAGACGGCAAACTATCTATGTTAAACATCATCCAACATATGCAGGGTTGCCATGTCTTTGTTCTTTTAGGAAGACGGCAAACTATCTATGTTGAACATCATCCAACATGGCTGCCATGCTTTTGTTCTTTTAGGAAGACGGAAAACTATCTATGTTGAGTATCATCCAACATGACTGCCACGTCTTTGATCTTTTAGGAAGACGGCAAACTATCTATGATGAACATCATCCAACATGGTTGCCATGTCTTTCTTCTTTTAGGAAGACGGCAAACTATCTATGGTGAACATTCAACATGGCTGCCATGTCTTTGTTCTTTTGGCTGCTATAAACTTTTCACCGCATACATATAACAATTGCTCCTCTTTTTAGTGTTTTAAAAAATAATCAGTTTAAAACAAGATGGCAACAACTATACTACACTGCTACTTCTACTGAATAATAACAATAACATTAGGTTTTGATACGTCAACAAGCTTAATATTTACAATGTACAATACAAAATCTCAATGTACAATACAAAATCTCAATGTACAATACAAAATCTCAAGGTACAATACAAAATCTCAATGTACAATACAAAATCTCAATGGTGGATCTCAGCGATGAATCTCTTTAACTTTCTACTTACTTTGATGTTTTTGCTAATTGTTACGTGTTTCGGCTTCTCGGCTGAAATAATTAAATAAGAATATTATGAATTTAAGTTCATTAAAATTTAAACGGTATACAAATCAAGAGCTGAACTTACCCAAAAAGCTGTTTGTGAAAACCAACCTCAATCCATTTATAGTCAGCAATAATATTATCAACAGCAAAACTACTCGTTTTAGGCTTATTCCTTTGGGTTTCCGCATCACGTTAAGCATGTTAAAGCAGTTTTCGTTTTACACAAATAATCCTTTAAATGTTTTTTTTTTTTTCTTCTTGTCGCAAATGGAGGTCACACAGATCAAAAACAAAAGTAAACACGCCGGGGAGATGGAGGAAGTAGATTGTACTAAGTCGTCGCGCGTACCGTGATAAAAGCGGATTATCAAAATACGATCATAAATCACACAGAGAAGTGAGTTAAATCACTCCTTAACTAGCCTAATCCGGTAATGAAACAATATATTTTTAAATTAACAAAATTGTGAAACTTTATAGAAGAAAGACGGTCATTAGTTAAAGATAGTTTTATTTTGGCCCGCGGGCGTAGGAGAACACAACCAGATGTTAATAGGTCGTTTTTCACACTCAAGTCAAACATGTCGACAATAAAAACTAATATTGAAAAGAAAAATCCATTCCAATTTTATCTAGGTTTTATCTGGTGTATGTGAGAGTAAATCAAAACTAAAATAAGTGAGAAAACACTTCAAGACGAGGAAATGGCTTGTCAAATGAACTCGGAAGAAAGACAAAGTTGTTTATAGAGTTTTAGCGCTAAAAAGATTAAAAATGAACTTGATACGACGTTTTTTTCCGACGGGCAAAATCCTTAAAAACAAAAAAGAATTCCGTCTACTTTAGTCGGGAATGTAATTTTCAGAAATTTCACGTATGAGAAATGAGGAATGAAGACCTCCTAAGCTGGTTGTTATAGCAACTCGACATGTCCTCAAATATTTGGTGAAAAACGTTTTTGAGCTACACAATAGTTAATATTAACAATTTATTTCGAAAATATCATAAATAAAAATTGGTTATTTACGAAATGTTAAAGTGCATATGAACCCTTCGACAATACTTTCAGTACTGATTCTACATGAGTAAATAGTTGATTGGTAAGATATTTCTTGATTTGAGTGATGCGTCTCTACGTTATGAAGGTTTATACTTCCAATATGCTAATGAGTGTGACGTCTATTAAGGCTTAATTAAATATACAAAATCGAACTGGTTCGTAGATACAGTATTTAAAAAGCATCATTATTTTACACAAGGTTTACATGAAAGCTATTCAAAATTTTTATTTTCAAAATGGCCAGCATTTAGTATTACTAGTTACAACAAAAACACTCAAATACCTTACCTGACGTCATCATCATTAACATATTGGAAGTATAAACCTTYATAACTTAGAGACRCATCACTCAAATCAAGAAATATTTTAMCAAWCAACTATTTACTTTATGCAGAACCAGTACTGAATGTATTGTCAAAGGGTTCATTTGCACTTTAACGATTCAGTTTAAAAAGAAAGTGGGTTGTTCTGCCTTTGTTCTTATTTGAAACTTTGTACATCAACTCTTCGTCGCTTGGTATTATCTATAAAAAAATCACATTTATAAAAAAATTATATTTGCAAATTGGACGGATTTGAAGCCTTTTTTGTTACATATTTTATGTTTCTATCCTCTTTCTTTATTTCGCTTGGTCCTTCGTTCGCTAGTTCGTTCTCTCTTTCTCTCTCTATCTCTTTCTTTCTTTTCTTTTATATTTCGTTGCTTCGCTCCCTCTTTCTCTCTCTTTATTTATTTCTTTTGTTGCATGGTTCTTCCTCTCTCTCTCTCTCTCTCTCTTTATTACCTAACAGCATGACAACAAGAGACTGACCTGGGGGCTGTAATACAGCATTTGAAATAGCTTTTTTGGCCAAGAACTGATGATTTTTTGCGCTCGTATTGTAGGTTTTCGCGCAAGTGAATTGTCCCTTAATCGTATTGTTTCTGTACGGCGATGAGATGACTTGAAACGGTGCGCGAAACTCGCTGGTTTAGAGAAAGAAGATGAAAAGAAACAAGAAATTGAATAAAATATCTCAAGATCGAAACGTGTTGTTTTTCAACCACACAACATGATTATAATGTAAAATAAAATAGTTTAAGAAAATATCTATTAAATACAGAAATGTTGGGCCGAAAAAACGAATAAAAAGGAAGAAACGTCATGGTAAATATGTTTACCTTGTGGCAACATTTTTCTGATCATTCGGAGGAAGCTTCTTGTCAACTTGTTCTCCCGTTAAAGATTCTTCATCACATGATAACAACGCTTCATCGAAACCAAAAGATTGATTCCATATCATAGAATCATCTGAAATAATCATAATAATATGTTTATTAGTAATGAAATATATATTTTTACAAAAAAAACTTAACTTAACGAACCTCCCTTTTTAAGGTCCTAGCGACGAGGCTGGAATAGTAGGAACTGTGGGGGGCTTTAGCCTTCCCACTTTCCAAAGTCTACCACTACTCTTCCACTAGTCTTCTACTAGTCTTCCACTACAGGGGCAGATCCAGTGGGGTGAAAAGGAGGAGCTGTGGCCCCTCTTTCAGGACGTTGGTTATCTTTTTTGAAGTGGAAAAGAAAGCATTTTTTCATATTTTTATATTCTTTCCAAGTTCTGTAGTGCCGTTCGCAAAATTTGGTCAAGCCATGCCTTTTATTTTTGGCTGTATCCGGCCCTCCACTAGTTTTTCCAGTAGTCTGCTTTATTTCCAAATCTAAGTCCCCTGCATATGACAATGTTCTATGTGGTCCTCGTAACTATAATTTGTGGAAGACATAAAAGCGTATCGAATATGTGGAACTTAGAACTTAGACGCAAGAGCACAGCAGATTGAATAGCTTGTATTCAAAAAAATCGTACCTTCAGGTAATATACTTGAAAGTTCATTTTCTTCAATATTATGCTGTTTATTCGAAACTGCAAAATATTTTCAATCAATCAGCTTGAACATTAGCCAGATATGTTGCAACAGTACTATTTTAGCTATAATACTACCAGGTTACATAAGGTATTAACTACCGAGTTTGCTGAGTATTGAAAACTGCAGCAACATATTACCATGGTATCATTTCAAATGTCACTACATTGTCGTGGTATCATTATAGATGTCACTGTTACAATGATGTCACTATGTTACCATGATGACACTATGGTATCAGTGTGACTATCAGTTTTATCATATTGCCATGGCAACAAGGCTACCATATTAACAATAGCAAGCATTATTTGTTAATCACTGCTGATATAAATACCTGTGTTCACAGTTGTCTTGTTGCAAGATGTAGTGCTGTTACTCTTGACATCTTGATGACAAGAGTCCATATCATGGTTCTTGTGGGCAGTGGTCACATGACTTTTGTTAAAAGATCCAATATTATTTTTTGGTTGGTAACTACTGTAAGTTGCACAATTATTCTGGTTTATGTGACCATTATTTCGATCAGATGTGTGACTTTTGTTATTTGTGTGATGAGGTGTTGTGTGACCTTTTCCTGCAGTGTTATGCCTAGTCGTTGCGTGACTATTGTTACTGGCGAAACTAGATGGTGTGTGATTTTTATCACTTGGATGGCCATTATGTACATGACTAGGTGTTTTGTGACTTTTATCACTTGTATTGCCATTAAATGTGTGACTGGTCGTTGTGTGATTTTTATCAGCATGAAAGTTTTTATATGTGTGACTTGATGTTGCATGACTTTTATCACTTGTATTGCCATTATATGTGTGACTGGGTGTTGTGTGACTTTTATCACTTGTATTGCCATTATATGTGTGACTGGGTGTTGTGTGACTTTTATCANTTGTATTGCCATTATATGTGTGACTGGGTGTTGTGTGACTTTTATCACTTGTATTGCCATTATATGTGTGACTGGGTGTTGTGTGACTTTTATCAGCAGGAAAGCCTTTATATGTGTGACTGGATGTTGCATGACTTTTATCACTTGTAGTGCCATTATATGTGTTATTGGGCGTTGTGTGACTTTTGTCACTGATGTGGCCTGGTGTTGTGTGACTCTTATGATGACTATTTATTGCGTGACTTTTATTATGTGTGTGAATAGGTTTTGACTGATTGTATTCTGAGGGACTGCCCTCTTTCTTAGACTGGTACGATACTGCTTCAAACTTAGTAGAACTCCCTGAATCTTCTGATATCACAGGACTCAATCTATCTTTTCGTAGTTGTGTAGGTGTCAATGCTACTGGTTCTCCATGAAGATTAGCTGCCTCATTTTCTTGGTGCATCTCTTGTTTAACATCAGATTCTGCTGGTCTTTTTCGTGCTGGCTTCACAAATGGAATTCCTTCCCTCTTAAAATTTGTGGTATTGAAATCTTCCATGGGCTTCACAGTACAAAACACACAAAAAAATCAGTTGAAGCCAATGAAAATTTAGAATGAAAACAATGCATTCCAAGTTTGGGTAGTGGAAATGATCAAAAACCTGGGCTGAACTAAAATGGTAAATTGACCCTGATGCTACACGTAAACCACTAGATAGTAATGAAAAGAGTAGTAAACTATAGCTAGCAGACTGGACTCACAGGTTTGGGTTGTTTGGTAATGTATTTCAGATATCCCTTATCTCCTATACAGTTACCCATTACTTCACCAAAACACCTGTGAATAAAATATTCAATGATAAAAGTTAAAGGAGAAAAATTCATATATGCTAATTCTCAAAGAGGGAGTAAGACTAGATTCAATTGGTTATTTATACCACTTATATACAGTACAAAAGGTAAGATTTACACAATTAATGGCAATTAATTGAGACTGGAAAATAGTTTTATACAATAAAAGTTAGGTACCCTAACTAGGAGAGCATGATGAAAAGAATCCTTGTGGCAAGGGAGAGAATGAAATATCAAACAAATTAAACCAACAGTTGAGAGTCAACCTTTCAACCCCAGACAGGAATATACTGTACAGTGAGTGTAAAGACAGCATAATGCCACCCATCTTGCATAACATACATACTTTAGTGCTCGTTTAAGTCCATCAGTAACAGCTTCCTTTCTAGCTTTCTCTAGTGCAAGAGCTTTGGACTTCATGCCCTCAGATACACCATAACCAATGTCCTCATGAAACACACCATCCTACGTACGCATCCGTAACAAAAATAATTCATTAATTTACATAGTTTCATGAGTAGGAAGAGCATGACCTTTTAACATTACAGTGGACACTGCATTGTGTTGTGCTAACATGAAACATTTCATTCATACCTTTAGTTGAACTCTGACAAAAGCACTGATCCCAACATAATATTTTTGACCAACCTGGTCAACGAAATCTGAAAAATGCAATAAAATGAAAAATAGACCCTTTTTCTTACTGTAATGTACTGACACAAAGAACAAGTTTGGGTTTCCTGTGGTGGAAAATTCTTACCTATGTTTTGATGTGTGACTGAATGAGACCAGCCATTGAACCCAAATGTCTCATTAGCCAGCTTGATAATTCTCCAACCTTCGATATAAGCAAGCTGTAGAATATAAAATGAAATAGTTGGGACCTGTGTTTATAGCTCTACTATAACCGTTCTACTCAGATGTATCTAAGCTAGTATTGTATGTATACAGTAAAAGGCTATGAATTTTATTACAAACAAGAATTCGCTTTACTAGTACCTTCTGTCCACCAGCTCCTGCTCTCTGGCTAATATACTCAGGACCAAGTTTTTGCTGTAGAGCACCGTTGATCGCTTCTTCCTCTTCTCTAGAAAATTTACACTAAAAAAATAACAACAAATTCCTTTCAACCAAAATATTGAACTTTTCCGACGCCTAAGAGGAGAAAAAAACTTACGTTTCCGAACGAAGATGGACGATTCTCAATGACCATCTTCAAGAAGCCAAAATTCTTTAAAATTTAGAGGGCAGAGGGTTAAAATCTTTTAAAATTCACTATTTTTTCGCAAGGTTTCGATATTTCAAACTTTTAAATTTTTTGCCTTCCTTTCGATCAGCCAATCAGAGTCTACCTTGGCGTACAATGCTTCATGGGAAAATTGCCTTTCAAGCCAATCAGATGGCTTGGTCACATCCGGGAATGTAGAGTTCAAAATGGCGTCGCATTCGAAGTGAAAAAGTCTTTAGCGAAATTTTTATTTGTTTTTATCCTAATTTTTCAATCAAAACAAAATATTTTTGAAGCTTTTTATATGCACTTGACAAGAATAAGGCTTTGGTATTTAACACTGCTGAAGGCTTAATCTGTAAAATGTAGTTAAGGTGGTTATAATTATCGCTTTTTATCAGTTTATTTTGGTGATATTTGTTATTGCAAACTGAGCTCAACAGCTCTGGAAATTTCGTCAAGTTTGTGAGGAAAATTCAAGACTGTTATCATGGCTACAGCAGCAGGTTAGTGGATATTTGAAAGTTTATTAATGTTCAAGGAAATACAAATATCATTGTTTCTATATTCTCTTTACAGGACTCAACTCAGCTCGCAACAAACTTGAAGGTCTCTTGAACGAACTGGTGGAAAAAAACGATGACAGGTAAGATTAGCCAGGCTTGATCACTGAATGTTTGCGTGAAACATATCTAAAACTGATTCATTGGTTTAATCTATTGTTTCAGCATTGATCCAGGGGATCCTATGGCAATGATTGGCAGCAGGTATGTAAACAATATGCATTTGGGAAAGGGGGGTGGGGGTTCAATGTATTCGCATTTTGTATCCCTGTAAAAAAAAGCAATAAAGTGCCTCAATCAGCCCCCACCTCTTAATCCTTGGATGGTCCCCTCTAAAATAGGTCCTTATTATAACATCTTTTTTCCAGCTTGTCATCAGCTATGCCGCCACCATCAACACCAACTAAAAGGTCAGAAGATCACTAATATACTCATATACTAATATACCTGTAAATGATATATCTAGTTCTTGCAATACATTATAGCCCTATTTCTTCTTTTGTTTATACTGTGAACCAACAACTGTATGAGTTCAAGCATAAATTTGAATGACCCTCCCTTTAAGCAGCTCATTTTTTCTTGACCCTCCCTTTTTAGGGTCTTAAAAAGTTATGACCCTCCCCGTGTTTCCCCCCCCCCCCCCCCCCCTGCTAATTTCTGACAAGTCACTAAGTTCTGACTTAATGTTACTGATCAAAATGACCAGCAAGGCAAAGCTTCGCCTGGCAGTTTCCAATCCTAGGTGGTTATTGTCTGATGGCTGGTCGTTATTAGCTCTGAGAGCAACAACTGCATATTTCATTATTTTCAGTATGAACACTAGTATGACATCACTGACATTTTTTGTTTTGTGTCTTTAACATGCTGTAATTTTGCAGAAGCTCTACAGGTGAGATATCTATTCTTCTTTTTATTTGCATTACTATAGTTACGTAATTCCTCTATATAGCCCCCCTGGGGGCTTATTTATTTCAGGCACGTTTGAGGGGGGGCTTATTGGAGAGAGGGGGCTTAATCGAGAGGGGGGCTTATTGATTTAGTCGAAACGCAGTAAGTTGTACGCTGTCAGGATGTAATATGATTGTAACTCAGGATTAAACGGAAGCATTACTATTGACCGTCTCGCATAATCTGTAGTGATGTACATAGCATTTTTATTATTTGATTCACCTGTGTTAGTCTCTCAAGTATAATTTACGATTATTGTGAATAGCAAAACTAAAACACGGTAACACCTTTAATCAGTACACGTGATTCTTTAGTTGTGAAGGGGGAGGGGAGGGGGGCTAAAAAGAGAGGGGGGGCTTAACAAATTTCTTCCTTTAAAAAGGGGGGGCTTATTTGAGAGGGGGTGCTAAATAGAGGATTTACGGGTACTCTATATTTTTATACACCACTCTGATTGGTTGAGAGCTGTGCATCGCATAGACCCCTGCATGTTATGTCAAAGCAGCTCAATTTGGAGGACAAAACAAAAGAATTTCATTCTCATGAGAATTGGAAACTTATGTCCTCAGAGTAACAGAGTAACCAAAAACTGTTTTATTTCATATTAAAAAAAACATGAAACTGTTATTTTTTTAATGTTTTAAATCACAAAAATGTAATTTATTAACTCTTGGAATATTTATTTGATTTGATTTGATTTCCTTAGCTAAGGGGCCAAGAAAACGAAGAAAGAAAGACTTAGGATTTGAAGTTGGTAAGCCAGTTTTACTTACCCTTTCATTCATTTTTTCATTCATTCACGTTTTTCTAAAATTTATTTTTCCAGATGGATCTGAAGGATCAAAATTAAATCGTGAGTATCAGAAAATAAGTGTGTATTGAATTTGTGCAATAATTAGTGGTCTTTTCGATTCAAAGTATTTTTGATGCAGGTCTTTTCAATCCACATTTGACACACATACAGTCAGCTCTTTCCTTGCGGACACCCAAATATTGACAAAGAAATTACCATAATTAATTAACGCTATTGCAGATGCTCAGTATTACGGACACCGAGTGACGGTCCCAGCGGTGTCCTCTGTAACGAGAGTTGACTGTACATACACAATTATTGATCCATTATGTATATTATGTATTACTTATCATGGCTTTACCGTTTCCACTCTAATTATTGCTCCTTCACTCTTGTTGCAATTGATATCTGCTAATCAATTCAGAACACTAATTTTGTGTATCTTTTTTTCCCCATATATTTTCCTTCATTGAAATTTCAGCAAGGTAAGTGACATGTTGCCATAATACCAAGGTCCAAGTAAAAATATAAAGTATAATGATGGTTCATACAGTATGTTTCTTCCCTCAAGAATTGTTATCACATAACACAGAGTAAAGCTTATGCTGTTCCTTTCAGTTGACAAAAGAGTTTTTCCTCTGAGTTCTCTGTTTTAAAATGATCATTGAACTGCATTGATTTGGCAAGTAAGGAGAGGAAATGGGTTTGTGTACTTCCAGGCAAAACTAGAGAATCTATGGTTCATTCCCTTGTCATCACCCACAAACTTGTTTAGTGCTTCTCTCTTATTTGTGTTTGACTTCAAAAAAATGAATCTCTAAACACTGGAAGGGTTAGAGAGTGCACTGCTATTCCTCAAGGGACACACATATATGTATATAAATATACACTGGTACTTCTTTACCTTTATATTTTTGCTGTTTTTTCCTAGTTACATCATGAAACTTTTTGATCGGAATGTGGACTTTGCACCGTTTGGTGAAGATACCCCATTATACACCCTTGCTAGAGAATGGATGGAAAACAAACCTCACAGAATGAAACTAGCATCTGATTCACAGGATCTACCAGAGGGTGAACAACTATCCAGCAGCCAAGGTAGTTCATCCAGTGTTCTTTCCAATGTAAGTATTATTTTGTTTCAAAGTGTGAATTTTTGATAAGAAATGAATGGGAAATCGTAGAACCAAAGGAATATTGTCAAGCTCTGTAAAGAGGAGTATTTTGATATGTATTACCATACATTAAAATCAAAGCCAAAATGTCTGGGAATTTTGGCTTCTTTCAATCAAAAACTTTAAGATACTAAATTAGACCACTGGGAATTTGATAGACAAAAGCCAAAAACCCAGATGACCTGAATTATAGCTAGTTGTCTGGGTTTCATAAATATGAATATAAGTATTATAGTAACAGGATTTGCAAAAATACGGAATGATTAGTTTTCTTTTGTAACAGGATCCAAGTACAGACTCCAAGGCTGTTTACTGGTATGTTATGCTTAGTATTCTACCAGCATTTTGAATGAAAATAATATGATAATTACACCCATTCTAAATATTCTGAGAACTCAGACATTCCAACAGCTTTTCGTCAAATTGGTTCTTAGCTGCCGTCAATCAAAAAATAATCATTCGGCACCTTTTATATTTTTGAATGCTGTCAGTGAAAAACCAATTCCACATCAATTTGTGGGAATGTCTGAGTTCACAGATCATTGAGAATCGCAGTAAGGGATGTAATAAACTAAATGTAGCTTGAGTCTCATATTATGAATTTGGGGCATTCTACTAAGCACACCACACTTTGTTCAGTTCATATTGGGAGGCATTTGGGAATCACAATGTACCTGTAAGCCATTCACCTATTTCCCCAGCTATACATAACTACTAATTCTTTCTTCCTCTTCAGCTTACCTCTCCCAAAGTTTAAAAGAGAGAAAAAGGACCACACACCCATTCCTAAACCTTTGCCACATCCTCCATTGTCCCTCAACATTCACTATGTAAGTAAAATAATAATAACAATAATACTAGTTTATTTATTTATATAGCACTATTTCCAAATGCCTTCCCGAAAAGTACTTTAAATGTACTCATTATGACCAACGCCACCCCCCCCCCCCCCCCATGTACTCATTATGACCAACGCCACCCCCACCNCCCCCCCCAACTCTCCCCTCCCTCCTGGCTATTCAAACTCAGGACCTTGATAGCACAATCCGATAGATAAACCTTATTCAGTGCATAAATTTATTGGATAACAGCATTGACTTATCCACTGGATAAGGATTTATCCGCCAGATAGCGCTATCCAGGTTCGTACAACTGGGCCCTGGTATTTTATTCAGTTAGATGATCATTTGAGTTCAATCCTCTGTATTTTATAATATAGAATGTTGATTCTGGTCCTAACATAAATGATTTGAAAAGAAATCACATCCAAAGATGGAAAAAGGTTAAAAGCAGGTAAGGAGTAATGCTCGTTGAAAATGGACATAAAATGTTGAACTTCAAAGCTTTTGAATATAAATATATTTTTTACATTTATTTCAGCTGGAAAGAAGCATCCTTAGCAAACCAGGCACACTACACTCCAAGCATCAAGAAGATTAGGCAGCTCTTTGAGTCTTATAAATAAGCAAAAGCGATCAATAAAATAACTTAATTTTAACTTCCTGTTCACTATGTCCGACTCATTTAGCTTTTGTTCTAAAGAGGGTTCTGAAGGGTAAAATGGGAGCTGAGATTCGTCTTTTTTAGGCTGGGAAATTGGGATTTTATGCACTGGGACTGGGATTACGAACAAAAAAGACAATAATATTGGGATTAAAATGTGAGCAAAACATAGTCTGGGACTATGGGATTTGGTCAAAATGGGGGTTGGAAAATGGGATCAGCCCCCCCCCAGTACCGTCTCTAAAAGCGTATTCAACTTGTGAAACATTTCTCCTACCTGCATTAAACCCCGCTCACATTTTGATTTTTTTTGTAGCCAACGGTTTTTTCGCAAGTTAGGTAGGTATACTTCTTCCCATGCCCGAGAAAGAAGAGATTTTTGGCTATGGAAAAAGTGAAGTTAGTGAGTGACGATGATTCAAGAGCTGCCTTCAAATTAAATAAATAGTTTTTTTCTCTAAGAAATCCGTAATTTAATTCTCCAGTTCATAGATAACTTGTTTTTGAAAACTAAATACTAATTTTCTCGGCCCTTTCTTTACTATATAGAAAAAGAAAACACCCATTTTGGCACTTTTGACTTAAAGCTCACAAAGTCAGTTCAAAAATCTTATGGGATGAATAGATTATCTCTGTGAGTGACGTTGAAGCCTCTAAAATGTTTCAAGACCTCACTTCAGATAAATAGATTTTTTTCTCTAAGAAATCCGTAATTTACTTCTCCAGTTCATAGATAACTTGTTTTAGAAAACTAAATTCTAATTTTCTGGGCCATTTCTTTACTATTTAGAGAAAGAAAACACCCATTTTGGCACTTTTGACTTGAAACTCACAAAGTCAGTTCTTATGCGATGAATAAATTATCTCTGTGAGTGACGTTGACGCCTCTAAAATACTTCAAGACCTCTCTTCAGAAAAATAGATATATTCTCTTAGGAAATCGTAATTTAGAAAACTGAATTCCAATTGTCTGGGCCATTTCTTAACTATTTGAAGAAAGAAAACGTAAGTCAAGATTTTTTTGACAAAAACTTTCGAAGTTTTTTTCTTATCGATGGGCTTCCTTTGTGTTCTCAAAAATCTAAAATTTAGTGATCGTAACATAATGTCATAGCTATATCCAAGATGGCGGACGCCATTGATTCCATGGGTTTTAATAATTCCAAGTGGAATGATTCCAGAAAACTCTTTGATAGTCTAAAGATGATGGCCAAAAATCCTGATTATAGGTAACAGCTTTGGTTAGGAAGATATCCTAAAGTTTTTCATGACCCTTTTGACTTTAAACTTCAAACGAAACGAACTTGAATGGAACTTGTTTCTCCTTTCCTCTATCATTATAATCAATAAATCTTTCATTTACCTTCAGAAGCAAGATATCTTCATCAAATTTTGACCAAGCTCAGCAATTCCTTGTTTTGTGTGAGAAAGAACTTTCTTCACAAGCTACAATTTCCATGGGCGAGACATTGGTATCTTGTCTTGAGGCTGTAACTGAAGCATTGAGGTTCCTGAGGAATTCTTCAGCCGGTGTTCCACAAAACCAAGAATATATTGTGTAAGCATTATTTAGGAACTCATGTTATTTCTATAAAGTCAATAGACCCAATCAGCTCAGTAGGGGTCACTTTGGAGGGCACTGGGAGAGGTGCAAGAAGGCTAGGGATGTTACAGTAAGCCCCTACCACCATCACTACCCCTCCCAACAGTAAGTTCCTTGAAAAATGTTGAATATGATGCTCTTAATTTTGGGAGTGATGTGGATAATTTTTGGCAAATTAATATTTTATAATTATTTGCACAAGGCGAAGTGAATATTGTGAAATTTTACAGAGCCACGAGTCTTTGAGCGGAGAGGGAAATATTCTCATATTCACTGAGCCTGAGGTGAATAATAATTGTTTTAGTATAATCTTAGACTTGAATATCAGAGAAAAGACAAAATTCTGGTTTTAAAAAAACATTTTAGTATTACATGTACTTCCACTCTGACTGGCAAAATTTGGAAAACCTCATAATCACCGTTTGAGTACTGATTATCGTCTCATAATCACTGGTCGCTTGACCAATCATAGCACGTGAAACTATATATTCAAGTCTAAAATTATACATATGATGTATAATGTTCAACAATGTATTAAACATTATTAGTATTGTTTATTTCTAAAGGACAAAAGGAGTCATTCAACAAGTTATGAAAATTACTCATACTTTACTGAGGCCTCGTTTTCAAGAATCAGATGAAATAAGTAAGTCTGATAATTTTGAAAGTTTTATATTAATGTTTTATACAGGGTTAGTGCCGAGGTAACCACTTAAAATTCAAGGACTATTCAAGGAGTATAATAGGATTAAAAATTATTATTATTTATTCTATTTTTAGTGTATTCCATCTGAAACAATATACTTATGACATGTAGAGAGTTAATTGCTGTATATTTACTTTTTACTTCAAATTAACGAGACCCACAATATCCTTTGATCTTGGAATGCACTATTCAGTATACAGTACTCAGTATTCAACCATTTTTCTCATAAACCAGCCAATCAATGGGCTATTTTTGGGTCACATGATGTTACTTGAAACCTGGTAAAGTCCTGTGAAAGGAATGCAATCAGTCTGGAGTAACTGGAACAAAATTAATTCAGTCCTATTTTGTTCCAGTTACTCCAAGTTGAATAAATAATGAGCATGAGAAGTCATTTCAAAGCCTCCAATATCAAACTGGACGGGATTTCAAATAATTAGAACTAATTGCTTAGACTTGAAATCCCGTCCAGTCCTCATTGTCGGCTTTGAAATATTATTTGAAATAGCTGTATATACAAAGATATTTACTGGTAATCCATACATAATATAATATTTGAGTATTCAAACTGTCTTTCTATTTCATAGATACAGTAAATGAAACAATCAAAATTGCAATCCAACTGATTGGAAACGTAACTGTTGGAAACACTTTAACACAAGAATCCATATGGAAACAGTGTTACCCTGATTTTTTCCTGTAAGTAAAGCTAACAACACACAAACCAGTAGTGCATCTCAACAATAGAACATGTTGAGAGCAACAGGGAGAAGTTTGTGGGGGTATTGAAAGGAGAAACTGGTGGATACTTTTAAAGGTTTCAAAATTGAAAAAATGTAGTTTTCTCTTTTCCTGCTCTTTCTTCTACCTCTTCTTTTCCTCCACTTCCATTTTCATTTTTTGTTCTCATTTTTCCTTTAGTTTCTCATTTGCTTCCCCTTTCCTCTCTCCCTCTCTCTTTTCTTCCTTTTCATTCTTCTTCTCTTTCTCTTTCTCTTTCTCT